AAAGAAGCAATCTTCAAACATCAAATATGTCTTTCTACATTTGGGGTAAGTGGAACATTTGCATAGTTCATTTTTTGGCTGAACTGTTCCTGTAAGGAGGCCTGGCATGAAAAAAAAAAACACATGGAGAATATACCATGGAGAATTCATTTCCATGTGAAAGCCATTCTAGGGAACTCATGCATGAGTCTATCATAATGGTAAATATGAGGGGCTATGTTTTGTATTTTGCAAACCTTTCTCAGTGTTTTCACAGCAATGCACAAACTATAATTAGCTAGCTAGCTGTACAGTTCTGGCCTTAAATAAGAGGCTGTAGCACTCAAGTCTGAAATGATCAACTGTCATCTGTGTAATCCAATCCATTTTTTTTTTGTTATTGGAAAAGATCCTGTTACATCTGCCATAAATTCATTAGTATTCTTTAAATCAAAGTCGAATTATGTATATATGTGTATATATATATGTGTGTGTGTGTGTGTATATATATATATATATATATATATATATATATATATATATATATATATATATATATATACATACATACATACACACACACACACACACACATACATACATATAATGTTATGGCTTGGAATTGAGAATGCAATTCTCATTCATATTTCTTTGACCAATTCTGTAAGGAGCAATGTGTATTTATTAAATTCACATTATTCATATTATTGATGTATATCGTGATAGCTATATTTTCTTAGTGGATGTTTCTAAACGACTGCTCGTCTGCAATTTGAATTACTGACTAATTGGCACAACTGTACTGAAACAGCCCAAATCCTGAGTAAAAATAACAGCTATTTAGTATAAAAATCATATTAGAGGTGCCAAGAGCACATTGTGCTCTCCCAAATTTAAATGGAAACCAGCAATGTTGACAGCTGGTTAAATAATTAGTCGTGGCAGTTTTTCTGTTCTTCTGCTGAAAGCAACTCATAAGAAAATCACAAAAATGAAATAAGAAAAGCATTACAATTGGTCTTGATAAACATGCTTGATGCGGCACTGGCAAGTTTTGAGCGAGACGACTGGACTCACTTGACCCAATCATTCATCTCATACATTTAGTCGTCGTTTGTGTAGTAATTGGGAATTTAATATCCACTGAATTTATAATAAAATTTGTTTACAAATTTGTTTCTTCTTACTACAAGCAGGTGTTTGGGTCATTTTAAAATTCACTCACAGTTTTCCAATGCTGTTTCTCCCCTTTTTTCCGTAGACTCGTCACACTTTAGGTGTGTGCATGAGGTCATGCAATGGTGAGGTTATGCAATGGTTGCTGGAGTACAAACGCGGCACAATCTACACTGTTCTTGAAAGGAATTTCAATGAAAAAAGAATACGGATCTTTTTTTTAATACAATTATCTGTGCAGCCCTTAAGTTCATTCATGCATTGTTGTGTTGTCGTGATCGATCATTGGTGTCACTCAAGCATCCATGCACATCCCTAATGATGACCTGCATTTTTCCTTCTGCCAACTATCTGCTGGTCTGGAGGAAGCAACTTCTATTTGGAACCATGAGACAAAACATCCAGCTGATCTCCAGCTGATCTGCTCCTCATCAACCCACACAGAGGTGTCAGAAAAGCTTGAGCCTCTACCGCCTGGCACATCTGTTACGACAGTGACCTCATTTTCCAAAGGTGCAGCCTCAACGGAGCTTATATGGTGAGAGAAAATGCAAACAGTGTGCAGAGAAAGCCAAGTTTGTCACTGTTGTATGATCCAGAGTGACTGCGTTGCAATGGCCCAATATGGAGTGTACAGCAGAGGTTAGAAGAAGTGAGAGAGACAGTTAGAGCAGAGTCAGAAAGGTGAAGACCATCTAGCTGAGAATGCTTTCAGAGAACACTCTGCAGACTTCAAACTATGCACATGTCTTCTCAATTGGTGCTCACTACACTTACACACCATCCGCTACTTTCACTCCCTCTATCTCTCTTTTTCAGTGTCTCAGCATTCAGACTAAGCAGTGGGGGACTGGGGGTGTGAGCGTGACCTTTCGGCCCAGCCAAAAACCGAGTGACAGCCTGTCACAGTGGTGCTACTCGTCCCATTCAGCCGTCAGGCTGATGGCAGCTCAGGCTATTCACAGGAACTGGTTTTAGCTGGATCTGAGCCAGGGAATCGTCTCCTACATGACAAATACGAACAAGCACCACACAGTCCTACCTTACAAACACGCAAAATGGTAAATTTTACACAAATCCCAAAAAAAAACCACTATCAAGAAGACTGTAGTAAGTAGTAAGTAGTAGTTACATAAATCAAGCAGTGGCCTTTCTCAACTCAGCCAAAAGGCTTCAAATGCTTCTGTATACGGGGGGGTCTACACGGTATGCAATTTGTACATTCAGCCTCAGTTAGCATGCTTCTCCTGTTGTTCTGTGTAGCTGGTGTTTAGTTACCCATACTAACCTGCTGAAAACCGCAGTGTGGGTTGACCAGCTACCAGCTGCCAAAACAGGCCAGGCTGCTCAAGCTGCTAAGATACGTTCCAGGTTCCTTATTACTTGACTAATCTGATCAATACATGTTTGAGTTTAACTGTTACTAAAAATAACTTCCTTCCAATGCAGCATTAGTATCAGTTATTCAGAAATGATTTCCTTTCTACCAACTGGCAAGGATGATCTACAAGTTTGACCAGTTCGGTCAGACCAAGCTGGATTTTTCAGCAAAGTAACCTGCGCATTTACTGTATTGTACTGTATTGAACTTCTGCTTATCTTAAGACCAAAGTTACGCTTTAATGATAAAGCCAATTCACTTGTGTGGGAAAGAACATACAAACTGAAAAGAGGGAACCAGGAGCATTAGACATAGAGAATAAACTAGTTACAAACTTAGGCTAATGATAACACTAGCTAACATGTAGCCATTAAGTCATTTATTTCGAATAATATAAATAAAAAGGCAGAATCGCAGTGAAGTCTAGTCAAAACCATTAGAAATATCAACATTTTCCTAATATGTGCCAGTAAATTACTAAGAGAAGACTCCATATGACTATAATTAAACTGCAGTTTACACAATCGCTAACTTAACATCCATGGGCTCGGCCATATTGAGAAACATCAACATTCCAACACTGACATTCTGATCTGGTGAATATCACAAGAGAAGCTGTTCATATAGAATCATCCTGTAAACACACTGAACATGACCTCATTTCAATGAAGCAAAAGAGTCATCGATTTAAATTGAAGACTTTGATTTAAATTAAAGTCAAAAGGTAATCATTTCTATAAAAATATACAAATGTACACCATGATATAAAGCAGTAACACCATCCAATGACAGGGTGTGCTGCTATAGGAAATTAATCAACAGTGAGGTAGTATGATGTGGACTGACATGAAGTGGAGTTACTTTTACCACCACAAAGTTGAATATTTTCCTATTTTTTTCCTATTTATTAAAGAACACATCATATTTTTGTCCATTTATAATTATATTTAATGTTATGGAAACAAGTTAATTACTGTTATCACTCATGATATTACAGCTATAAACTGTCGTTCCCTTACCAGCCTTTCTTTTTTTAACTTTCTTGAAAATAATATGAAAAAATATACAAAAAATGTAGCTTGTCATGTCACCATGAAACCACAAAGCCATCTGTCCTGAAGATTTTCCCATGTTATGTAAGGAATAACACACGGTAGACTGCGCGATTATGTGAAAATAATGCACACGTGATGCGGCTCAAATAGCTAGCTAGCTAACATTTGGTGTTCTCTCCAAACTCAGATTGCACCAGGACTGCTGACAGTTCTGACAAAGAAAACAGCAAGGCAAATATCTTTACAGCGTTGTACTATTTTGCACATAGTCACGTGTATGAATATCCTGTATCATCTGATATATTGCAACAGGATATGTGGTTGATATTGACAGAAATTGACCATATGAGTGAGGAATTGTTTTCCAGTCCAGTTGACTCATTATTACAATACTGTCAACGACCAGGATGACTAAAAACCTCTATAGACAAAAATGTTAAGCATGAAGTGCGTTCGTGTCTCTGAACTTCACTCAAAATGTGGTGAAGCAGGAATGCAAAGAACATTTTCACTCACCAGGCCACCACAAGTGTCCAGCGAAGCAAACGAGTCAGTGTGATTGAAGACAGTGCCAGTGTAGAAACAGACCCGTCCTTTAAAAGCTGGTTCATGCTGGACGCTCTCTCCTCGACTCCTCTCCTCAACCATGAAGCCTTCGGCGAGGAAAGCCTCATCCCTCTGGAGCTCCAGGTAAAGCTCTTGACCGAAGGCAGGCAATGACACGAACAGGTGGCCATGCTGGTTCTCTGAGCGCCTCCTGCGCCCTCTGCTCCACCGGGATGCTTCCCAAATCAGCTCCACCTGCTCCTGCTGCAGCTCCGAGGGCACTACTAAGTCTGTCTCGTACTCTACAGAGCGTGCTGGGGAGGAGGGAAAGACGACTTCAATTTGGGACAGCACTGTTTTGAGATGTCAAATCTCAGCAATACTCTCAATTTCTTGAGTACTTCAGTTGTCCCTCTGGGGGAACCCTCTTTGTAGAACCCTATCAGTGTTTCCCTATCAGAAAAGTTGTATCTTTTCAATAATAACAGTAATAACAGTGTAACAGTTAAGATACTATGTAAATTTTATAATGTATACATTTTCATACTGAAATTACTGCACTATTATTACAAAGCTGTAAACAACTTCACTGAAAATTATTTCCCCTCCAGAAGGATAGTTCTGTTCACCAGGCCTTTCACAGTTTCATGGCATCCTTTGAACAGAAGTATGTGTTTGCCTAGCCAGAAAAGGACACTCCTTTAAAAGCATAAAGGACATTAGAGGACAGCTGTCCTTATGCTGCTTTCTAAATAGGACTCACTTTTATCTCTGAAGCTCAAATGCTGCACCAAAATGGTGGCTTTAGCATCAATAGATTGAAATATCATTATGATAATAATGATATATGCTGTACATAATGGGAGGTGGTGGCTCAGTGGTTAAAGCTGTAGGCTACTGATCAGAAGGTTTGGAGTTCAAGCCCTGACACTGCTAAGTCTGCCACTGCTGGGTCCTTGGGCAAGGCCCTTAAACCTCTCTGCTCCAGGGGTGTGATATCATGGCTGACCCAGCACCTGAGCCCAGCTTCCTAGCAAGCCAGGATATGCAAATATAAACACAATTAAGGTTATGTTTTTCCTCTATTATATATGATTTTTGGCATATACCCACTATGTGCATTTATAGTGGAAACTGGGGTGGAGAATGTACTAACCCAGCACAGTAAGGTGCTAGTGTGTGAACAAGTGCTAGTGTGTGAACACTTGCACCCTACAGTACTGTTGTGCTCTTATGAACAGCTGTGGTATAGTCAGGATTAGAACTTTAGAAACAAATGCACCACTCAAGAGACAAGAGACTTGTTTTAATAGTCATGTTAAAAACGAGTAAGTGCCTTGTGTTTCAGTTTCTGCTTTTGAGGTTGAGAAATTCAAATTACCGGAGTGAAGCCCTCTTTAAAACTATTAGTGTCTGCTTAGCCAAATAAAACTAATTCATCCGATATTATTGGTTATCAAAGTTTACAGCTCCTTAGGTGTCAGACATTTTTCATATTGCTCTGGTTTTAATATAGATGTAATGGGAATGTATTAGACGCAGTAGGTGTGAGCACAGAGTGAGCAGAGATGAGTATAGAGAGCGTGGGAGTGGACTACTGTAAAAGCAGTAGGTGTAGATTATTAAAAACGCAGTGGGAGTGAGTGGAGAGAGAGCAGGACTGAGTATATGGGCAGCATGAGTGAGTACAGAGAGAGCAGTGATGTGTATATAGGCAGCAGGAGTGAGTACAGAGAGATCAGAGATGAGTATAGAGGGAGCAGGGGTGGATTATTATACAGGCAGTAGAGGTAGAGGTGAGTATAGAGACAGTAGGTGTGGATTATTAAAGGCAGTATAGTATATAATACATATTAGAGGTAGTAGGAGTGAGTAGAGAGAGAGCAGGACTGAGTATATAACCAGCAAGATTGAGTATAAGTGGACAGTATAGAGGCACTAGGAATGCGTATAAAGGGGCAGATGAGATTATTAAACAGACAATCTCATCTGCCCCTTTATGTATGTAGTTGAGGTTGAGATTATTATTATTATAGAGGCAGCAGGAGTATAAAAGGAGCAGTAGTAGATTATTATAGAAGCAATAGTATTTATCAAGGGAGCAGGTGGGAGGTGAAGTGAGAGTGAGTATAGATGAAGTATGAATGGATTATTATTATAGGGTCAGTAGGAGTGAGTATACAGTAGATGGAGTATGAATGGATAATTATTAGGGCAATAGGAGTAAGTATAGAGGGAGCAGGAGGTGATTACTATAAGGACAGTATGATAGAGTATAGAGGCAGAAGGAGTGGGTAGAGAGGAGCAGATTACAAGTAGATTATTATAGAGGTAGTAGGCGTGAATATAGAGGCAACACAAATGAGTAAAGAAGGGCCTGGATGGGATTATTATAAAGATAATGGCAGTGAGTAAAGAGGAGGCATGAGGAGATTTTTACAGAGGCAGCAGTAAGTATAGAGGCAGCAGCAGTGAGTGCAGAGGCAGCAGGTAGTTTGTATAGAGGCAGCAGAAGTGAATATAAGGCAACATTAACGAGTAGAGAGGGGCCTGTAGGAGATTATTATAAAGGCAATAGAAATGAGTATAGAGGCAGTAGGAGTGGATATAAAGGCAACATGAGTGAGTAGAGAGGGAGCAGGAAGTCATTATTACTGAGATAGTAAGAGTATAGAGGGAACAGAGGGGATTTATTATAGAGGCATTCGTAGTGAGTAAAGGGAGGCAGGAGGGGATTAATGTACAGACAGCAGTGAGTATAGGGTAGTAGGATTATTATAGAGGCAGTAAGAGTGAGTAAACAGAGACAGGAAGGGATTAATATACAGGCACCAGCAGTGTGTATAGGGTAGTAGGATTATTATAGAGGCAGTAGGAGTGAGTAAACGGAGGCAGGAGGGGATTAATGCACAGGCACCAGCAACAAGTACAGGGCAGTAGGAGTGAGTAGAGAGGGAGCTGGAAGGCATTATTATTGAGGTAGTAAGAGTATAGAGGGAACAGAGGGGATTTATTATAGAGGCAATAAGACTGAGTAAAGGGAGGCAGGAGGAGATTAATGTACAGGCACCAGCAGTGAGTACAGGGCAGTAGGATTATTATAGAGGCAGGAGCTGTGAGTACAGGGCAGTAGGAGTGAGTAGAGAGAGAGCAGGAAGGCATTATTATTGAGGTAGTAAGAGTATAGAGGGAACAGAGGGGATTTATTATAGAGGCAGTAGGAGTGAGTAAAGGGAGGCAGGAGGAGATTAATGTACAGGCACCAGCAGTGAGTACAGGGCAGTAGGATTATTATAGAGGCAGTAGGAGTGAGTAAAGGGAGGCAGGAGGGGATTATTG